CTTTCATACTCAAGTCTTGCCTTGCCCTTCTCTTGGCTAGCTTTGAATGCTAAGTCTTTATCTTTCTTCTTGTTAGAGGTTGAGCCATCTTGTGGGGTGATGTGCATGTACATCTCATGAGCATTGATCTTTCCCAAGATTTGTGTCGGTGTAGCGGTGGAAAGATCACCTTGGTGTAGCACGGTCACAATATGCCCATATTTTTCAATGGGGAGGACACTCAAGATCTTTCTCACAACATCGGATGGTGACATTTGAGTGAGTCCAAGCCCATTGATTTCCTCTACAAGAACATTCAAACGTGAATACATCTCATTAGCACATTCTTTGGGAAGCATCTCAAATGAATTTAGCTTTTTAATCACAAGATGATAGCGTTCTTCACGCTCACTCTTAGTTCTCTCATGGAGCGCACAAACGTCCGACCATAGAGTATGGACGTCTTTGTGGTTCCTTATGCGATTGAACACATCTTTGCAAAGGCCTCTAAAGATGGTGTTGCGAGCCTTTGCATTCCATTTTTCATAATTAACCTCATCGCCTTAAAGATTAGTAGCATCCTGAGGTTTTGGGAAGCCTTGCGAGGCAGTTCTAAGAATACCAACGTCTAGAGCCTCTAAGTACGCCTCCATGCGGATTTTCCAATATGGAAAGTCATCTCCCTCAAAGATAGGAGGAGGTCCATCCCCGTGAGACATCTTGCTCTAAGCGGTTAAGCTTAAAAGGTGAGCACGAGGCTCTGATACCAATTGAAAGGATCAAGATGCCCAAGAGGAGGGGGTGAATTGGGCTAATTCTAATTTTTTTGCAACAATTAAATCCTATGGTTAGCCCAATTAACCCATCGTGCCTAGAAAAGAGTTTCTAATAAACTAACGCACAACGGATTAGCAACCTATGTTCCAAACTTACTCTAGCAAGGCAATTCTATGAATGTAAAGACAAGTATTGAATTGCTCAAAGTAAATGCTCAAAGTAAATGGAGAGAGAGAGGAACGCGGCGATGTTTTGCCGAGGTATCGGAGAGTCGCCACTCTCCACTAGTCCTCGTTGGAGCACCCGCACAAGGGTGTAGCTCCCCCTTGATCCGTGCAAGGATCAAGTGATCTCTACGGGTTGATTCTTCAACACTCCGTTGCGGCGAATCACCCAAAGCCGCTCACAACTTAAGTTGGGTCACCCACAAGCTCCACCGGGTAATCACCAAGCTCCAAATCACCACCAAGCTGTCTAGGTGATGGCGATCACCAAGAGTAACAAGCACGAACTCTCACTTGACCACGCGAAGCCTAATGAGAAGATGGATGCACACTTGACTACTCTTGATTCACTAATGAGGCTACTCTCTTGGATTATCAAATCTCAATCACCTCGCTAGGACCCTGCTCTTCTTGGCACTCACAAACGTGTTTCTCAGCTGTTGGAATGAGCAAAAGTAACTCCACACACGAGTGGAGCTTCTATTTATAAGGCAGCCTGAAAAACGAACCGTTATATGCCTCTGCGGGGTGACCGGACGCTCCGGTCATGTTGACCGGACGCTCCGGTCAGTTCAACCTGCGAACCAGTGAAAATGAGTTGACCGGACGCTGACAGAGTCCGGTCACCACAGATCGGACGCGTCCGGTCACATTAAAACCTTACTGGAACCTTACTGTACTCGACCGGACGCTGAACCCCCAGGGTCCGGTTAGTACTTACCGGACGCGTCCGGTCGTAGATTCTCTTCTCTGGAACCTTACTGGAGTCGACCGGATGCTGCCTTTCAGCGTTCGGTCACTTGACCACTCCAGTGTCCGGTCGCACCGAACGCAGTCCCTTGATCAAATGAACTGACCGGACCCTGCGGCCAGCGTCCGGTCGCACCGGGGCCAGCGTCCGATCAGTATTTGACCCTCCATTCACCTTCAATTCTCGATCATGTGTGAATGAAGTTTGCTCCATTGGATCTTAGGCATATGTAGGAGCTACCTAGAGCTAGTTTAAACAAGTGTGCACCACACCTAACTCACTAGACTTATCTAGGTCAAGCTACCCATCCATACCCCCCTTAATAGTACGGCCAAAGGAAAAACAAAGTCCTAAACTACTCCAAGTGTCACTCCAACTCCAATCGACACCTAGAACTAGTCATCCTTAACCTTATCGTCCATCCTTTGAAAACCGAAACGATTTCCATCGTAGGGGCATGACCACCTCGATTGCTCAATCGATCACCATTACCATGACCTAACTTAATTGCCTCTGCAAAACACACGTTAGTCATAGTAATCTTGTATTGTCATTAATCACCAAAACCCAACAAGGGGCCTAGATGCTTTCACATATCAAGTGGTACATCAACTCCTGGTCCGAATGAGTGACGGTGTACGATCTATGGTGGTACACAGCATAGTCCTGAAGGAAGAGTTTCATCTCTGACATTGTGCTGAATATCATCCCCTTCCTAAGGGTTTCTGTCTCATGGTTATACAATGAATTCCTACACATCTGGAGACCAGTATCACAAACTGCCATATCCGTCATGCTGACATCCCTATAGTTTGGAACGCCCCTGAAAGGTACGTTCTTGGACCTTAGTTGCTCAAGCTCAGTCGTTGTGTAAGGTGGTGGTGGAACATACTGCCACGCTTCGCTAATTCTGGCCCATGAATTATAGGGGATATCATCTGCAGCCAAATCTGTGACTAGTCTACCCTGAGCATGGACACCTTGCAAAACCTCAGTTGGTACTGGTAATGGCATAGTATGTACCGGTACTGGCATGGCATCAACCGTTGTTGCCATAGCATCTGTACCTCCTTGGTCATCATCAGAATCGTCTAAATCACCGCTAACTACATCACCGATCCTATCCTCCTCCTCCTCCTGCTCCTCCTCTTCCCGTTCAAACTCATTCACATCGAAGTCATTGCTTATACAGTCCCTACTGCAGTTGAATGAAACTGCTCCTGCGTCAACTGATCGTCCGAATCCATGTTATCCTGACTTGCTTCCCCTTCGACCCCTAATTCTTTTTCATTGCCTCCAAATCCATCAATGGACAACCTGTCTTGAATACCATGCAGCTTGTACCCATTATCCACCACCACCTTAGCCATGGGCACATTGGAACCTTAGAGAACCCTAGTGTAGCGGGACCAGTGAGCAGAGTCGCGCAAGGGCATGAGGATATAGTGTGCCCTAGTCTTCCCAGTATCAAACTTCCCCTTTAGTGTGAAATCACCGTCAAACTTTATATTCAAACGGACACAAAGATCGTTGAAGCTAGGAGGTTCATCAAACCATTCCAATTCTTCTTCCATATCCTCAAACATACCATCCTCTCTCCTAACACTTCCTCCGTACAAAACTCTAACACAACAATCCATTTGCAAAAACATTTCAAGAAACTTCATTAAGTCGTCAAAATCATCGTACGTAATGTCCATACTAACATTAATATATTTTCTAACTATAACTATACTAACTAATCAAATATTAACATCTATACAAGACATACGATAACTGTACTAACTAAACTACATAACTTTACTACCTATACTAACTTATTATATTACGTATACTAACTAAACTAACTAACTTTACTAACTATACTTTAATAATTTTACTAACTTTACTAACTGTGCTAACTATATTAGTGGAGTACCTTGTTGCGTAGCAGCAAGACCGGTCGGAGAGGCACGGCGCAGGCAGGCGACGCAAATGCGTGACCGGAGGTTTTGGCCGGAGGAGGGCCGCCACGTCTGCGGCGGCGGGCGTTCTGTTCAGTTGCTCTGGTACTGGTCAAGCGCGCGAAACGACACACGGTATTCACTGGCTTGGCAACCGGCCGGGCCGTATGCGGGCGGCGGCAGCGGCAGATGCACAGGCGGCGGCGCGGCAGGCGGCGGGCGCGGCGGTAGCGGCGCTTGCGTGAAGGCGGCGCGGTTGCGCGGCAGCCTTTGCTTTACTGCTGCTTTCGGAGAACGGCGATCGCCGGGCACGCGCTGTGGCAGCGGCAGAGGATATACCGGCTCTGCCAGCGCCATGGATCGGTAGCGCTGCACCTCGCTGCGCAAGATCGGTGGCGCGCAGAGCTCTCTGCCGTCGTGATCGGTAACCGCTTCGATCGCCGCCACGTCGACTCCTGCCAAGCCCGCCATGCATGCATGCGCAGATAGGCATTTGGCATGCTGTAGGACAATAGGCGCGGCCAAAAGTGTTAGTTTAAAAAAACCGAGAATGTTAGATTTAGAATTAGTTTTGAAAAAAGTGTTAAAATTAAAAAAAAAATCTGCCCAGGTCGCCGCCGGCAAACAGCCCCTTACTGGCCTTCTTGACCGGCCAGTGAACGACCAAAGGTTGTAGAAGACAATGGCAGTTTAGACATTTCTCGCACCTTCTCTCTCCTCTAAACTGAAAAATGAATAAAATAATCGGTGCGGTGTCTTTCGGCAAAAAACCACAAATTTGTAATGTCTGCCACCAAATTTTGACTTTTGCGGTGTTCACTGACCAATTACGTGTTTCTCCAGTGTCCCACGGCCAAATTTTCCTAAATAAAAATACTAATAAAGAGCACAAAAGCTTGTCAGCCACTCTTTTAAAAACCGTACAGAAAAATCGATAATCTTGGAGTGGAAAATGCCACTAATTAAGAATGATCAGTGTACAGAGAACAATCCGTAGCAGTGGGTCCATTTGGCTGATGGGGAGACGAAGAGGAGGTCGTCGTCCTTCTCCAGTCCAGCTTGAGGCCCCGCCCCAGCCCCACTGGCCAGCTCGGCCAAGAAAGTTGTGCGAAACAACTCCACGAAATGCCCGCCGGAAAACCCCAAAACACCCCTGGATCGAACACATGATCACGGTGGCATCGCGATCATGCTGCGCCACGATTATAAAGCCCTGGGTGAGCCGCGCCCATCGAACCAAGTCGCCAACCACGTCGGCGTGCGCACGTCACGAAGGACGATCAGAAGCTAAGCCCCAGCTCCAGCTCCGGTGCCGCCGGTTCCGCGATGCGAGTCACGTCGTACCAGAGGCTGTCATCGGAGCGCCCCGAGGGTGGCGCCGCGAGGGCGTGGGCGTGGGCTTCGCTGAGGCGGGCAGCCGCAGCAGGGGTCGCCCGGCTGTACGCCGCGCGGCGGCGGTGGTCGTGCACGCGGAGGACGTGGGTTGCCGGGAGGGTGGCCCGGCCGCTGCAGGCGAAGGCGGCGGCGACGAGGTACGAGTACGACTCGGCGAGCTACGCGCGCAACTTCGACGACGGGGCGTGGATGGCCGAGGAGGGCGTGTCATGGAACGCGCGTTCGTTCGGCGCGTGCAGACTCGCCGCCGTCCAGCCATAAGGAGAGCTTCCCTTCATGTTGCTTCTTAGAATTAGGCGGCTGATTATTTGTGAGGCTTGATGATTATTTATTGAGTCGCAAAAAAAAAGGATTGATTATTTTATTAAAATCGTCTGTAGAACTGATTTGTGCGCCGTTTTATTAGTTTTTCTCTGTTACATTGAATGCTTCGTCACACGTGAAAGATTTCGAGTGGAAATGAGTAGAAAACCGTAAAGATGGATGAGATTTATGAAATTGCTTAATTCTTATTTAATTGAATGAAGTTTTGCAAATATGGTGACGTTTTTTTATATGGAAGAAAAAGAAATGTCACTTGAGCAAAGCAAAAACCTATAGTATGGGCCGTAGCCCAACTTTATGAAAGCTGGCCTATGATTTACCAGCCCTTTTCATACAGCAGGCTAGTAGAACGGGCCTTATCTGGACGTAGCCCATCTGATTCAGGAATCAATCACTAAAAAAAGCGCGACTTAAAGGCCCAAACTGCCGCATTTTACTGTCTTGTTCTCCAACTAAACGTGCTAAATCAGCGGTAATAAAAGTGGGGGAAAAGGCGGCGACGCAGTAAAAGGAGAAAACAAACGGTCCGGCAAGCTCGACACCCAATCCAATCCCAGTTCCACCTCCTCCCCATTTCAGTCAGAGGCCCCCTCCATGACCTCCGCCCCAAATTAAATCCGGCCGCGGCCGCCGCCGTCTCCCCGGCCACCGTGGTGGCGTAACCTCCGCCCCCAATTCCCTCGCCTCCACACTTCAAATCCCCACCACCACCGCACCTCCCCAACCCGGCAAATCCCGATTCCCGTAGGCTAACCCTAGCCGCCCATCCGCCAGCCATGAAGGCGTCGATCAAGTTCCGCGACGACGACCGCCCGCTGCTGCGCGCCAAGGTGCCGGTCGGCGTGCTGGGGCTGCCCTTCCTCTCGGGCCTCGCGGCGGGGGGAGACGCCAAGGACCTCCGCTTCGACCTCTCCACCGCCTTCCCCTCCGGCCCGGCGCTCCGCCTCTCGTACCGCCCCAACGAACCGCTCCAGCCCTTCGCCCTTTCCATCCGCACGGGGCTGGGGCCTCTGGGCTCCCCTATCCGCGCCCCCTTCGCCCTCGCCGCCGAATTCAACCTCACCTCCTCCAACCCGCCCGCCTTCTCGCTCCTCTTCAAGCCCCGGATCGGGGACTTCGCCGTCGCCAGCTCCGTCCGCTCCCCGCCGCCACCGCCGCCCGCATCCACCCCGCCCCCTCTGGCGATCAAGATGGCCGACCTCACCACGAACGACGACGACCACGACCGCGAAGCGCACGGCAACGGCTTCTCCTTCGCCGGGAATGGGTTCGCAGCGAACGTGGCGGCCGCCGCGGGGACGGGCGGCGGCGGCGTGGGCGCGCTGTTGTCCGGGATGCGGCTCACGACCAGGAGTGTGCTGCCACTGTGGAGTAAGGCGAGCCTGCGGTTCCAGTGGGGGCTGCGCGTGCCGCCGGAGATCAAGGCCGCGCTTGCAGACGACGGGTACGGGCGCAAGGCTGGGCACCTCGCCATCAGCAAGCTGCCGCTGCTGGTGATGAACAAGATCACCATCGAGCACACGCCCAAGGTGCCTTCACAGTCTGAAACGGACAAGAAGAGGAAGAAAGACGCTCCACCAGCAGCCGAGGGCGAGGAGTTCTCACTGATGAAGAGGCAACTGGAGAAGCTGAATGTGGAGAGCACAATGCTGCGTCGTGCAGTCGAGGACTTGCGTGCAGAGATTGGAGCTGGCAAAGGCGGTGGTCGTAAGCTGCCAGCAGCAGTGCCACCTCCACAGCATTCATTCGCGTCGAAACCAGATCGCCATTTCCACAGCAATGCGAAGGAATTGGTGGACAGTGGGACGAAACCGGCCCCCAATGAAGCAAGCGAGGAGTTGAAGAAGGCGCTCGAGGCCCGGCGGAAGTAAGTAGCACCTAGTTAAGGCTTGCTGACATTGCAAGCCCTACCATATGACATGGCTGCTGACGGCTGTGTCTAGTTTTGTGCTTAATAATAATATTTCCTTGCTGGAGAATATTGGTAAGGGCAGTTTACACCCTCGCTGGAGGCAAGTGAGGTTGCCATTTGCCATAGGTGATGTAGTAGTTTTGCCTCAATTCGATTTCCATTGCTTGTGTTAGGATATCCTGTTCTGTATAAATTCGCATCTTTCCGATTCGATCTAAAATGAATGAAGGATTAGTTTTTTCAACAGCCCCCTTTGAAGGATGTGGCATTAATCTCAGTGAAATTTGGGTATGTGCAATTGTTCCTTTGAATCAAGCGTTGAGCGTTGTTGATGCTCCCAAGTTGCCTAGTCCGTATATCTTAAGCGGCCTGGCTGATAATAAAGTAGAAACCACGGCTTCTGAAATGTGGAACTGGGAAAGTTATGGTCTGGCATGGCCACTGACATAGTGACATGCTCCAATAAAACTTTGAATTGTTTCAGCGATATCCTTTCGAAAATCTGTTAATTTAGGGCATTCATGGCGACGATCGATGTTTTTTTTTACAACAGACGATCGATGTTAGATTGGGCACAAACATGTACAAGCTGAAACTGCCCGATCGAGCTGATTCATCATTTCAATTAAAACAGTTAACACTTCCCCTCCGCCAGATCAATTAAGCCCCAGAAGATAGGCCACGAACTAGGGCCTGGTTGTTTAAGCTTCTTTTGCGAGAAACTTGTTTGTCACACACTCATACAAGCTATCTAAAAATTCTGGAAACTACGGAGTAATTTTAAAAGCCGTTTTCTTTTTTGAAATAAATAGGCATCTTTTTAAACTTGCTTATAAAAAATGATATTTTGCAATTGATTTGCAGAAGCGGCCTAAAATTTATAAAATTACCAGGCTAAACTCGCAACTTAGTAGGATTTACCTTCCGGATCAAGCTATTCCCACTGATTGAATCTTGGATGCTTTGGACTTGGCTTAGCTCCATCAGACCATCAGTTTATTCTGTTGCGTAGTGCACTCGTGTAGCTTGTGCTTTGCCAAGCTTAAACGAACGCACACGTACTAGTGGTAGGCTGGTTGTAGCTGACCACTGACCAGGGGTAACACGGTCATTGCACATGAAATAGCCGCAGGTGGCCCACTTTGAATTTTTCATACAGAAAAACCCCTAGGTAACTGAGAAATTAACGCAGGTGCCAGGGTGCGCGCGGCCGCGCGGGGCTCGGCTGAATGGTTGATTGCCGTGAGCCCATGACCATCCTTCTTCTTTACCGATAAAAATCAAACCGGGCCGAGGAAGGAAAAAGCGACGGCGAAAAGCAACGGAGGCAAGGGCAACGGCCAGGGCGGGGCTGAGAGCCTGAGACCACACCTCCACTGCCTCACGGGCGAGAACGCAGGAAGGATGGCGGACGGGTCGGACGGCACCGACGTGTCGCCGGAGTCGGAGGCAACGGCGGCAGCCGTTAAGGGCGCGGAGATCTGGGGAACGCTGGAGGAGCTGCTCCTGGCGTGCGCCGTGACCCGGCACGGCACGGGGAGCTGGGACTCGGTGGCCATGGAGGTGCAGACACGGAGCCCCGTGGCGGCCCGGCCCGGCCTCACGCCGCACAGCTGCCGCCTTCGCTTCCGCCACCTCCACCGCCGCTTCTCCACCGTCGGCAGCGGCGGGGAGGAGGCCGAGGCCGAGGCCGAGGCCGAGGACCCCGACGCCTCCGCTGCCGAGGGGTGGGTGGACGAGCTCCGGCGGCTGCGCGTCGCCGAGCTCCGCCGCGACGTCGAGCGATGCGATCTCTCCATCGGGTATGGAATCCGGAGAGAGACAAAGAAAAATCCAAACAAGAAAAACTACCTTTTGAAAACCATCGCCCGTTTTCCTTACCGTCTGATGGCGATCGCTCGGTGAGGATTTATTTAATGGAGAATTACAAATCGATTTTTTTATTCGCGCAGGTCGCTGCAGTCGAAAGTGAAACGGCTGAGAGAGGAGCGGGAGCGGAGCGTCTCCGGCGAGGCTAAGCCGGACGAGGTGAGCGTCAACGACCGGCTCTCCTCCCCCAGCGAGGACCCCGGGCGGTCGTGCAGGGAGTCGAACTCCACAGATCTGAAGCCTCCCAAGCACCCCGGCCACCAGGGCGGCGGCGGCGGCGCCAAAGAGGAGGAGGTTGCGAAGCAGGAGGCCTCCGTTGAGTCGGCGGCGGCGTCCAAGGAGAGCAGCGACGTGCGGAGCTCGGCGAGCCTGTGCCGCCGTCGTGGAAGCGGAAGCGGGAAGGCTGACGAGGAGGAGGAGGAGGAGGCGGCGTCCGCGGCCCGCCCACCTCCCGCCCGGTCCCCTCCGCTCGCCTCCCTGGTCGACGCGGTCTCGGCCAAGCTCGGTTCCGTGCTGCAGCGGCTACGCGAGCACGGCAGCGAGGTAGGTGCCCCGGTAATTACCATCCTGCTCGTTTTTTCACCCTTCGATGTTACCGGGTTAAAAATTCGTATTAGCAAGGGGACTGTGAAAGGGTACGCTTTAAAACCTGGTAACATGAATTTTTCCAAAAAACCCCGTGACATGTCAGGGTCCGGGTCCCACTCCCACCACCCTTGATTAACGGGTCTCCTGGGTGTGGAAATATTGGATAAGATTTGGCGTGCATGTAGCATGCACCGATGACCTGTGATTAGAAGCCCTAAATCCGTGAGCTATCTGATTTGCGAAATGGCATATGCCTCCCTCCGCGAGTAGGATGACTTCAGGCTGCACATGCAGTGTAGCAGTAGCACCGTATGGAGTTTGGGATGAAGGCGTGAAGCTCATGGAAACGCTTCAATTTTTCTGATTCGTACAATAATAGCCATATTTCCGTATATCAGCATGTTCGCTTGTTGATTTCAGCCAGCCCAAACCAGCCAGTCAATAGTGTTTTTCTTTCATAAAAAATCAGCACCAGCCAGCCCAAACCAGCACCAGTCAACGAACAGGTCTTATGACTCTTTAATTTCTTAATAGTTTTAAATGTGTTTCGATAAAATACGGCGAATCTCTTATACTAGTATAGTAACCGTAACCGCGTGAAAAATTCAATTTCTTGGTGACGAAAGCTATGTTTACCATCTTTTTGCTCGGTGCATTCTAGCACGGCAAGTTGGGTGCACAGTTGCAATCAATCAGATGTGGCCGGGTGCCTTGTAGCTAGACGATGCTTTCGTCCCTTTTATTTTTCGTCCCTTTTATTTTCTTTTTTCTTTCCCAATTATTTACTGTTTTTTTTATTTATGTCCTGGTCAATCCGATCCAATTACAGGAGTCCGCCGCGTACCGGGGCACGATCAGGCGCCACGTGGACCTGGAGAGCGTGCGCCGTCGGCTGGACGCGTCGGTGGCGGCCTCGCGGGCCGACGATGACCACCGCTTCCCCGCGCGCGAGCTCTACCGCGACCTGCTGCTGCTCTGCACGAACGCCGTGGTCTTCTTCCCGCGTGGCACCCCCGAGCACGCGGCGGCCGTCGAGGCCCGCGCGCTCGTCACCGGTCACGCGTTGGCGGTGCTCCACGAGCCGAAGCAGGAGCACGTGACTGTGGCGGCACCGGTGGGCGCTGACATCGTCGGTTCCCTGATCGAGAAGGGGAAGAAGCCGCTGATCGTGTGCCGCAAGCGGAGCTCCATTGCGAAGGCCGCCGCGTCCGCGGCGAGGAAGGAGGAGAGCACGATGAAGGGTGAGGCCGGGGCAGCGGCGGAGGAAGAGAGCGAGGACGAGAAGAAATCCGTGGCTGCGGCGATCAAGGACAAGGCGTGGGGAGTGAGGACCAAGAAGAGCCGCGGTGGCAAGAACTCGGCGGGTCCTGGCCGGAATCTGGCGAAGGCGGCGGACGATGCGGACGGGCCGAGGAAGGGCGCTGGCGGGCTCGCCAAGAAGAGGAACGCCGTGGACTTCCTGAAGCGCCTGAACCAGTCGCCCCCCAGGAAGCGGGGGTCGGGGTCCCAGCTGGGGACGACGCGAAAGCGGTCGGCGGCGATGGAGCAGCAGACGACAACTACCCGAAAGAGAGGAACCGGCCGGAAGGAGGGCACCGGGCGCGGTGGATCCAGGCGGAGCGGCAAGGCTGCCGGGACGAAGAGAGGCGTCGGGCGGCCGCAGAAACGAGGCCCGGCACCATCCACGCCGCCACCGTCCAAGAGGGCCAAGACGAACAGCAGGTCGGAGAAGTCGTCAGGAACGGGGAAGCGCGGCGGGAGAAGGTAGGTAGGAATGAGGATGAAGGTAGAAGACCTCATAAAAAGCGGTGGTAGTCGGTAGCAACTAGCGACCGAAGTACTGTTTCAGTTTGTGTAAATGACGTAGGTTGTGGTAGGGAAGGAGCCGAGCTGACATGCGGTTTGTGCGACTGACAGATCTTGTGTTTCTGGTTCTGTTTGAACTGATAAGGGTGCTGAACTGCAAAAACTCCGTTTTTTTAATGTTCCTCAGTTTCTTTTTTGGCTCGTTGATGTTCCTCGACCTCGTATCATTCATTTTTCATTGTATCATATAACCGTCCCTCTTGTACGAAACAAATTCCATTATGGCTCCTGTCCTGAATAATATTCCCTCTGTTTCAAGTTCCACGATTATGTCTCCAACAGCAGACCCAAAATCAAAATGAGTCTCCAATATAATACTTATAGCCTCCAACAAAAAACCTATACGAAAGACCCATTTCTGGGTGTTAGAAGAGATATAATCCAAATCTGAATATCCTCTCTTCTGAAAACTCATTTATAGAAATGGTTCTTTTTTTGATCTTGTTGTTGAAGAAGACTAAAAATGAATATTGAACCTTTTACCTGTACAGCTACGCAAACATAGAATGGATCTTATATTTTAGGTAACGATTGTTGAAGACAGTCTAACAGCTATAATACTCCATCCGTTCTATTAAAAAATGATATAGATATATTTTTATAAAAGTATTTTTCAAGATAAATCTATTCATATGTTTTCAAATTTTGAACTTAACAACTTAAAAGTTATTCGTGATTTATATTCTCAATGTTGACTCAAATCTTATCCAAAACAACTTGAATTACCAGTATAGAAGTAGTAAAAAAATATGTATCTAGAAAAGACATAACTCATAATTTGGAATGAAGTAACAATTACGGTAAATATCATTTTAAGAAAAAAAAAATGGACATCCGACCATTAGCGTAGTCGTTAACACATCGGGACACGGTCAGACAAGCTACTCTAGCAGCATACATGAAAAGCCTGCACAACAAAGTCCAGATACTCCAGCAGCATACATGAAAAGCATGCACAACAAAGTCCTTTTTTACATTAGAGTACAAGAACAGGCAAGTTGGATATTATGCTAGAGTTAGACATCTACCTGTACTGAATCAGGAATGCTAAGTGATCCATGCTAATGATCAACTAGAACATTTAAGTTATTTCTAGTTTGCTACATAGGAAACAACAAGCAATGGCGCGCAAACAGTTCTTTAACATTTGCATATCCCTGCCCCTCCATGCGCTCAATTTTGTGTACCGAAAAATCCCATTTCAGGCATCAACAGTTTCCAGGACACCATTTTCTGGCATGTCAGTTCTGCCATAGGAAACAACAAGCAATGTGGTTTCTTTGTTCTGTGGTCGAGGTAGGTGGTACACAAATGCATGTTCATCTTCCAATTCCAGCAACATGCCAGAAGCAACTAAGTAGCAATGCCGTTCCTTTCCAAAGCAGAACCCATTCGGCCTTCCATGGCCATATCTTCTGTAACACAAAAAAACGGCCACGGAAATATAGGAAGCATGAATACACCAAGATGCATCAGCTGACGAATGTACATTTCTAATGTCCATTTAAAAAGCATCCAGGAACACTTCAATATACCACCAGTTAAGACTACAATACCTCAAAAGGTTCATCCAAGGATCCTTTTTTATACTAAACCATTACGTACCAAATACTACCTCTTTTACAATTTTTTTTTTGTCATTTTAGTTTTCTCCTGATTCAACCTTATCTTTGTCTTGAAAGTGTATAGAAAAAGGCACCAACAACCACCATCAAAATATGTCTTGAAAGTACATTTATTTGGTATTGATGTTAATTAATATTTTATCCAATAAGAGTAAACTACACAGGTAGTCCCTAAACTAATACATCGCTCTCATTTAGGTCCCCAAACTATGAAATTGTCGTCCGGCTCACCGGTGAGGTTTAGAGTTTTTGCTCATTGTCCTCCTTGTGGTTTGCCTCCCACCTAACTTTTATGATGGAGTACTTTCTGTATAGTATTATCTGACCCTCAACGAGGTAGAACTGGCCAGGAACTTACCACTATCGCTATCCGATGCTTCATCAAGTCTGGCAATTGCATCAAGTAATGACTGCTCCTGATCCTAAAAGAACAAGTGTTTTGCCTCGTGACTCAAAGAAGGGAAAGAAAATATGATAACGAGCTTTTCCAATCACGCAGCATTTTCAAATGAAAAGAACATTTGAACAGAAGAATTAACTCACTTTCAGCAGTTTCCTTGCCTTCTCGATTTCAGGCATATTTGGATTGGACAATACCCTCTCCACCTGTGTTGGGAGCATACAACCATTAGACAAAATTATATCTGACTACCTTTTTCATGTCTGACTGTTGATTGAAATTTACCTCCGTAACAACACTCTCAGTATTTGGTATGTCAACATGATCAAAATTCCTATTGATGCCATTTTGAGGTGGAGCATAGTCCTTTATAGGCTCATTTATTGATAACCTCCCTCTTCCCCTGATTGAACCTGCCACAGCACCATTATTGGTTGGGTGCCTCTTCAACATAGGGCCAGAAGGGTCCCAGCCATCACGATTTGAAAGATGTCCATCAAATTCCCATCTTATATCTTCAGGTGCCATCTGTTTAAGGAGCGTTTATCAATCTTCAACTGAATAATTAATCGCAATGTGGCAATCAGCCAGGCTAATTCAGCAGGCAAATTTTAATTCACCTACAGATCAAACATGTTAATTCAACACATATCCATACTCTAGATCATACAATACAAACAAGTGAATTTCAGCTCCAGCAGATCAGTAAGAGTATAGTATCTAGGCTACTGCACCACTGCAAAAATATAATTTTGGCGAGGGAAGTGCTGCAGCATCAAATCTTTTACACTTTACATTTTAAGCTTATTCGAGCACATGAGCAGATAGTCAGTCTGTTCGCTTGTTGGTTTCAGCCAGCCCAAACCAGCTAGCCAACAGTGTTTTTCTCTCATAAAAAACCAGCACCAGCCAGCCCAAACCAGCACCAGCACCAACCAGCGAACAGGCCCAGTATCTTGTTGGCATCAATCAACAGAGACTAGCACAAGTAACACACAAAAATCAATTATTCAAAGCCAATGGTAGAGAAAGCATAACAAATAAGTAAGCACTTAGATGGCGTATAATGGAAGAACACAACTAAATACAGAGGAAAAGAGGAAAGAAAGGGATAAATAGAAAATGATACAAGCATTGCAGGCAAACAGTGCTTACATCACAAAGCCTAACCGATTCCCAAGTCTCGGCTTGTGTGCCCATGTCATAGACGAGTGCATGCTCACCCTAAAGAGATCATGAAAGAAGGTTACTGGGCACTGATGCATATCTGCATCAAGGAGCAAACAGTAGCAAAAAATGAAACCAACCGTCACAGGGTTATATTGTGTTATGGTGGCCTCATAGAAGTTGTTGTCCTCTGGCCACCTTGTATAAACTTTATGGTTTATTAATGAACTTGGATCCACAGATGGTAGCGCCAAAGGAATGGGCTGTACAAATCCAAAAGACATTATAAAACTGTTCTCAGGCTGTTATAAAAAAGATCTCACGATGCAAAAAATATTATGCATAATATTCTGAATATACCGTCTTCGCCTTCTTGCCTCTTGCTGACAAAGGACCCCATTTTGCAGATGGAACTGAGTGGGAGGGCATCATAGGGGACTGGAGGCCTGCAGATTGCGAAGGAATCGAATGAGATGCCCTTTGCCTCTTGGTAGTGGGCCCAGGTTCTGCATCATATAAAACCCTGTTGCCACGATGCAGACCACTTGGGGTTCCACCTGCCTGTCTTAACTCCCTGCAGATATTTTTGGTGAAAGCAAATAACAAAGGATGATATATTGATGATGAAGTAAAACACATACATACATAAATGCTTTAGGAAATACCTCATTCGACGGATGGTCCCATCTTCATTGACTTTATTTAATAGCTCCCTATGCTCCTCATCGGAAACCCTCAGTTCTTTCCTGAGTTCAGTAATCAAACTCTCTTTTTCCTGTACAGAAGCACATCTATCTTATTCTCAGCACAAACAGTAGGCCAAGATATGACTACTGAAACTGACACAACAAGTTTCAATTTGGTTGTATACCCAGGATATTGCATCAGATTGCACTTTAAATGCTCTAAGAACACCAGTATATGCATCTTGCTCAACCCGATGTATTTCACTCTCCAAATCATTATTTGCCCTCATGTAAGGAAATGCCCCAGCAGATGCTCGGCCATTCCCACTGAAAGATCGTCCTCTTAGTCCTCTATTTTGTGCTGGGGGGAGATCGTCATCAGTCCCTACAACAAAGGGAGAGGAATCAATACTGTAGTATATGAAATGCACAACTTGACAGCAAGTCATAAAGTATACATGTGGTCTGTGGACTATGTAATCCTATGACTGCAACACCAACTATACTTGTAACTCGAATTTACAATTTGGTACCTAGGGCCCTAGGGGGCCAGAAGCCCAAAACTAGTCACTAGTCAGGGAAGGTGAGTGGCATGGTATCATGAATCCAAAGCCAGGATACCATAAGTGTAAACTGTAAAGTAGAAAATCTTTCCTGACACATCCAACTCACCAAGTACAACTACTACAGCACTAGTATAGAGCTTTCCATAGCCGATACTCTATATTACATCTCTGAAATACATATAAACAAGCCCATGAATTATATTTAATCGAAGGTGGAAAAAATTTAGAATTGGTTTTTGCATTTTTAGGTGTCAAAATAAAGAAAACCCATCCTAGTGGATCCGTGTGGTAAGGAAAAATGGGTAATCTATTCCTTAACAAAAAAAATTTTGGAGATTATATAATGCTTACTCTCGAATTTTTTGTTTATACAGTTGTGATATTCTTTGTTTCCATCTTTATCTTGGGATTGGGATTCTTATATCTAATATCTAATGGAACAGGACTTAATCCTGGGCGTCAGGAGTAAAAATCCAAAGTTTTGGGGAAAAGAAAGTTTCAGCAAGTTATCCATTGGGCTATCTTTATAACGCCGCAACTTAAATCTAATGCTGTATTTACATTGCTTTGTGGCAACAAATATATCAATCTCAAAAAACAAGGCATCATACAGTCAGGCTGAAATACAAATTGACCCAACAGAACGGGAATCCTTAACCAAGAAAAAAAATCAATCAGGCTTAAAATTGGTCGATTCGGGCAAACTCACCGCTGCTATCGTAGGGGTTGTATCCCGCCGCCTTCATAACCCCGCCGGAAATAACGAGAGATACGAGCCGCCGAAACCCGCAGCAATTCCGCCGGATCCGGGCGCCGGCGCGACTGGGCTCAGGTAAAGGACATGGGTGCACACATGTACACCCAACATTTTTTGCGCAAAAATCGTAGATAGTAGCTTGTAATTAGATCAGATCCGAATACAAACAGCCAAATAGCTTAGATTAGGGTTCGGGCACTCGGTCTCACACAGCAGGAGTGAAAGATAAGGTGCGCATACCTGGTGGGTGCTCGTCGCCGGTGAAGGGCCCGACGAATACCTAGCAAAGGGGACGACGAAGACCCGGGAACCTGGCGTAGCTTAGGGCGTCGCGCCGGCGGAAGCGGTCGCCCAGCTGCACCACGAGAGAGGGAGAGAGCGCGCGTGGGGGGCGAACGGGAAAAGAAAAGCAAGGGGGTGAACGGGGAGATGTTTTATTTCGTAGCCACCGGATTAGCCGTAAGGCGCGTCGGCCGTCGGCCGTCGGGACTCGAAACTGGGGAGCGCGTTTTCCTTTCACGACAAAATGCCTCAGCTTCGCAAAAAAATGTTTTAGGTTTAGATTTTATACATAGAAGAAAAATGTTTTACTTCTGTATATACACTTTTAGTGGTAGGCGACGTCCCGTCGACAGCGAGGCGCCTGTGGTGACTTCATGAATCTCGAAATCTGCTGACTCAGTCCTTCGGACGTATTCATAGAGGTAGGGTTTACGTGCATGTATTCATATGGGTGAATGTGCATACGTGTTAGGCGTCTGCGTTGTAACGTGTAATTCTAAATAAAATCTTTCATTCATAATAAAAAATCATGCCAGTTTAAATGAAATTATTCTAGTCCACAAAAAATATATAGGTTAAATTAAAGTCCTTCTACCTACGGGGAAAAAAGTTCTTATTGCACTAGAAAGATGTTCCATTGGAACCACTAACTTATAACAGAAATATTTATTATTTATGGATTATTGACTTGTATAGTGATGAAGGACATTAAAATTCAAATAGAGGTGCTCTGCAACATGCAAAAACAAGTAGAAAGGAAAGAGAAAAGAAAACATACTTTTGAAAAACATATTGTAGCTTCATGTTCTTCACATAAGAGGCATCGGACCCCTTATCTCAATTTAATATTAAAACGAAGAGTGTTTTTTCCTTCCTTCATCTCTTTGACCCAATGACAAGTGGGCCTAAGTCACTCATGCACCTTTCCTATTACCGACCAGGATCCCACCAACACCATTGGATTTTTCTAACCATCCAATGGCCTAGATTAATTCAAAGATCCCTAAAAAACATGACAAAGTCCAACATGACCGGCTAGGACTCTGCCACCACAGTTCGATTTTATGATCAACTAATGGCCTAGATTAATTCACAGAGCCTGTACACAAGATACAATAGAGTCCAATGGCAACCAGAGTGTTACGATCCAGCTTGCGTTTGTCGAGTTATGTATCTCATCACAAGCATAAGCATGCTAGAAACTTTATTTACAAAAATACGTTAAGTACGACCGAACCTGACACTGTGGAGTGGCAGGTGATCCAGTTATAGTTGTTGGACCATGCCACATCAGCGAGCAGTCAATCAAAGTTGTGACTGTCAAATGGTTTGACTGGGGACATCAAACATGTTAGTCCATGCAAATGGAGAGTTGTCCACCCCACACCTCTCTAGGGACCACATGTCACCATGAAATACATTACACCCTCTCCCTATCTTTCTTGTCGTTCTCTCCACATGACATCTCTCTAGCAAGAAAGGAAGCGGTAGCAGGAAGGGGAAAAGAGAATAGTGAGAAGGGGAAGGAGGAAAAGAAGAAAGGACAAGGGAGGAGGAGGAGCACCAAGCTGCGGCGAAGAGACCCAAGGCATTTCCTATTGCTAGGGCAGGAGCATGGAAGAGCTCCCTTCTCCTATCATGGTGGGGAAGAAGAGTGTCGATGTTTTACCACCGATAGCCTGCCACGGGGGTACCCGGGATAGTTGTTCGGGCTTCGGCGAATAGCGGAATTCGGCGGTTACGCAAAGAGACTCACGATTTATACTGGTTTAGGCCCTCGACTTGGTCGAGTAATAACCTTACGTCCAGTTTGATGTTAGTCTGTTTGCGTTGTATTGCTTTGAGTATCGGGTATGTGTTCTCCCCTTACAATGGGTACCCTCACCAGCCCTTTATAGTCCAAGCGCTGAGAGGCGTTGTTTGTGTCCTATTCGGATACAAGGTCAGAGTCCTAAGCTACGCTTCGGGTGCCTTTCCTTGTATAATTTGCGTTGGAGTTTCGGTTTTGCACGTTGCTTTGCTCCGCGTTCTTCTTGGCGATTGGGCTGTAGGCCTTTTTACCAAGGCCTACCTCCCTGCAGTATGGTCTATGGGGGGCCCGTAGGGTTCCCCATCGACAAGCCCCCGAGCATTTCATAATTGAGCTCCAAGGGCCGAGTTGTTGTAGTCTTGATCCGGGTTCTTCTTGAAGTGAAATCTTGAGATGATCTTCTTTGATTCTTCTTTTGGTTGATGTGTATTTTTGCTTGATATCCTCCGGGTTCTTTTTCCTTTGAGTGCAGCGAGTGCAATTTTGCAAAAATTGCACTCATTGAGTGTAGCCCCCGAGCCTCTTGTTTTTTTTTTGTACAAAAAAGCTGGAGGGTCAAAAAAATTGAAAATATGTTTTTCTGTTGTAGGTACTTGCAGCCCCTGAGCCTTCTCCGGGTTCTTTTCTGTTGAAAAAAAGCCGGAAGAAGGGTCTTGATTTGTACTCCTTTGGTCTTTGTCTTTTGCTGGTCACGGATGGGTTTTGTATAGCCATGAGTGAGCGTATTCTTTTACTTTTTGTCATGAATCTTGCTTTTGGGCACTATTCGTCTTTGTTGCTTTGCTCTTTTGTTCTTTTCCTCTCTTTCTTGTGATCTTTAGCCTTGTTTACCTCTGGTTTGCTATAAATACATTCTTTGTTGGTTGTGGTTCTGCCTTGAGTAGGAAAATTCTTCTTCAATTCTTTCTTCATTCCTAGATATGCTGGTGTGTGAGGTTGAGCAGCCCCCGGGCTTATGCTTGGTTGATAATGATCATGCTGCTCTATCTGTTCTTCTACGTCCGAGCTGCCGCTGCTGCCGCCACTAGGTTCCTTGTTGCAATATTTAAGAATCTTGTCTCTATCTTATGTCTGAGTTTATCCGGTCCTATTTGGCCGTCTGTAACATTTGTATTTATCTTCGATCAATGAGATTTATAATTTTTCTCTGTCCGAGTTCTTTTTCAATTGTAATCCTTTGACACTGTAATTTTGTATGTGATCCTTCACATGTCTCCGAGTTGTTTGTTCGGCTGCTTATTGCTGCTGGTACTTCTAGTGCCGGCCAGCCTTTGACTTCTACTCCAAGTACTCTCCTGTTAACTTAGGGTGGGGAGGAGTTGGTCCAACTCGGTCATGTTGAGCGGCTGTCTGAGTTGGTTTCTTTGTGGGAGAATTTTTTGGGCGCGTATGGCGCCAAACTCAAGGTATTCGAGTTCTTTTTAACTTTCGATATTGGTTTTTTCTGCTGCTGTCTCACATATTTTTGCTTTGCACTCTTTATTTCAAGATCAGGATGTCTTGTTCGGTCCTCATGAGGCGCAATTTACTGCCATTGCTGAAGCCAATTTGAAAAGAAAGGAAGATGAGCTGGCTCGGACTGAAGTTGTCCTGACTTATGAGAAGGTGCAGCGTGCTCTGATGGAGTCCGTCCTCAATGCTAAGGTGCTTGAGGTTGAGAAGGTGCGTGACTCATCTTTGCAGGCTGTTACTGCTGCTCAGAATGAGGTCTCCGCGTTGAAGAAAGAAAAAACTGGTGGGTTCTCCTTTCTTTGCATACTTGCTTTTTCTACCTTGTTTTTTCTTTCTTTCTTTGAGTTCTTTGTCTGCTTTCTTTTCGGCTTTTGTTAAGGATAAGGAGAGTTGGCAGAAAGAACGAGAGGAGATGGTCAATACCCTCCGTACTTCTCAAAATCAAGCCGAGTCTGTAAGTTCTTCTTCTGATATCAAATTGAAAGAGGCCCAAGATTTATTTGCTCAGGCCAAGCTGATTAGATCTGGAGCCGACCGTGACCTTGTTCAGGCTTTGAAGTTAGTGCAAGATTTGTAGGAGAAGTTAGCAGCTGCCCATGATCAATTCCGGGCTCTCCAAACTAAGCTGACAGGTGCTCAAAATCAATTCCGGGCTCTTTATGAAGCTGCGAAGCCTATTATTGCTGCTGTTTGTCGCCAGGAGGACTTTGCTCAAGGGTTGAGAGGCATTATCCCGGTGTTGTCAACTCGATTTTTTGAGTTTGTCAAGGGTGGTTTTTACCGTTGTGTAAACAATGTTATATCCTTCATCCGGGTTGTCACTCCTGATGCTCCGCTTCAGCAGATTGTAGATCCTTCCGTGACTACAGAGTTTGCGCAGCGATGGGATGAGGCGAAGGTGGAGCTTGGTGGTCTTACAGACCAAATCTTAGAACAGATGGATCTGCTTCCTGCTGTGCCTCTAGCTCCTTAGATGTTTTGTGTAATGAACTAGTGGTTTCTTGTAATATATACTTGTCTCTGAAAATATGATCAGACTTTGCCCTGCTTTTGAATTTGTCTTTGACTGAAATGAGCAGGCTTCGACCTGTCTTTCTTTTTCTTCTGAGATGTCTTTGAATAATATGGAAAAGTTTCACCCTGTCTTTCCTTGTGGCTTTTTTCTGCTTTGCCATAGCTTGTTTCTTCGCTCTTTGGGTCGGCGACCGAGTTGTTTGGAGTGTTTGTGCCGCTCTTTGGGCGAAGCAGTCGATTATACCACTCTTGGGGTAGACGATCAAGTTGTTGGAGTGTTTGTGCCCCTCCTTGGACAACATAGTCGATCGTGCCGCACTTGGGGTAGGCGACCAAGTTGTTGGAGTGCTTGTGTCCCTCTCTGGGTGAAGTAGTCGATCGTACCACTCTTGGGGTAGGCGACCGAATTGTTGGAGTGCTTGTGCTGCTTC